TCAATTTCTATTGTACAGCATGTTTCAGTCATACATATACATACATACCTTTTCATATTCTTTTTCTTTATGGGTTACTACAAGATATCGAATACAGCTCCCTGTGCTATACAGTAGAAACTTGTTGTTTATCTATTTTATACATAGTAGTTAGTATCTGCAAATCTCAAATTCCCAATTTATCCTTCCCACACCCTTTCCCCCCTGGTAACCATAAGTTTGTTCTCTATATCTATGAGTCTGTTTCTGTTTTGTAATAAGTTTGTGTCATTTTTTAAGATTCCACATATAAGTGATATCATATGGCATTTTTCTTTCTCTTTCTCCAAATAGCCAAACAATCTTGGCAAAGAAGAACAAAGTTGCAGGTCTCACACTTCCTGATTTCAAAAGTTCTCACAAAGTTACAGTAATCAAAATAGTGTGGTACTAGCATAAAGACAGACATATTCACCAATAGAATAGAATAGAGAGCCCAGAAATAAACCCTCATAGATACGGTTAAATGACTTTCAACACAGTGCCAAGACCACTCAATGGGGAAAGAACAGTTTCTTTAACAAATGGAGTTGGAAAAACTAGATTTTACTTACAAGAGAATAAAGGTGGACCCTTACCTTATATCATATGCAAAAATTAACTTAAAATGTGTAGATCTAAAATGATAAAATCTTCAGAAGAAAACATAGGAGGAAAAGCTTTATGAAACTGGATTTGGCAATGGTTTCTTGGCTATGACACCAAAAGCATGGGCAACAAAAGTGAAACTAAATAAACTGCACTACATCAAAATTTAAAACTTCTCTGTAGCAAAGGATACTATCAAAGGATTCAAAATGGGCAAAACACTTGAACAGACATTTCTCAAAAAAAAGATATACAAATGGCCAACTAGAACATGAAAGAATGCTCAACATCACTAATTATTAGAAAAATGCAAATCAAAATTACAATGAGTTATCACCTCATGCCCATTAGGATGACTACTATTTAAAAAAAATAACAAGTGTTGGTGAGGATATGGAGAAATTAAAACCTTTATGCACCATTCATGGGATTGTAAGATGGTGCAACAGCTATGGAAAATAGTATGGCAGTTCTTCAAAAGAGTTAAAAATAGAATTACTATATGATCTTGAAATCCTGGGTACATTTTCAAAAGAATTTAAAGTGGAGTCTCGAAGAGATATTTGCCCACCCAAGCTCCTAGCAGAATTATTCACAATAGCCAAATGCGGAAGCAACACAGGTCTCCACTGACAGATGTGTGGGTAAGTAAAACATTATATACACATATTTGCTCAAACTTAAAAAGTATGGAAATTGTGACGTACAAAAGTATAGAAATTTTCTAAGTAAAATAAGTCACAAAAACCCAAATACTGTAGATTCCACTTATTTGAGGTTATCAGGAAAGTCAAATTCATAAATCACAGAGAGTAGAACTGTGGTTGTCAGGGGCTAGGGGAGCAGGGACATACGGAGTTTCAGTTTGCAAGATGAAGAGATTTGTTGCTCAACAGTGTGAATGTACTTAACATTACTGAACTGTACATACACTTAAAATTACTAAGATGGTAAATTTTATGGTATGTTTACATTACTATAGTTAAATTTTTAAAAAATATATTTAATATTATAGAATCTAGCTGGCAGACAAATGGGAGTTCACTGTAAAATTCTTCCAATTTTGCTGTATGTTGGAATGGAAAGAAAAATTACAGACCAATTTCTCTGATGAACAAAAATCCTAAATGCAAATTTAATCTAAAGATATAAAAAGGAAAATTCATCACAACCAAGAGTGGTTCATTCTAAGAATGATTTCAGATTAAAAAAACAAATTCATCACATTATCAGAATATTTTTATTCAGTGTAATTTTAAATTTCCCTTTGGATTTTTTATTTGATCTGTCAGTTACTTAGAAGTTTGTTATTTCCAAAATATTAGAATTTCCAGGTATCTTTCTGTTATTGACTCCTAATTTTATCTATTGTATTAAGAGAAACTTTTTTGTATGATTTGAATCTTTTAAAATTTATTGGGACTTGTTTCATATCACATAATATAGTTTATTTTATTCTATTCTATTTATTTATTTTAACATTTTTATTGATTTATAATCATTTTACAATGTTGTATCAGTTTACTTTAGTAAATGTTCTGTATGCACTTAAAAAGAATGTGTATTTTGCTGTTGTTAGGTGGAGCATTCTTTAAATGTCAATACAGACAAATAGGTTGATAGCTGATCAAGTCTTCTTATATCCTTTCTAATTTTCTGTTCATCTTTCCTGTCAATTTTTGACACTGCAATTATAGAAAGCTAATGTGACTATGGATTTGTCCATTTCTCTTTGTAACATTTGCTTCATGTATTTTGAAGCTGTTATTAGGTACATAAACATTTAGGATTGTGGGGAAAGGATTTTTTTCTTTTTAATAGAGCTAGGCCAACTGCACATCTTCTGGAAGAAAACTGTCTTCACTCTAATTCACGTTATACATTTTTTTTAAAAGTTGTGGGATTTTTTTCCCAGATGGATTATAAATCTAAATGAGAAAGTAAAAATCATAGAGCTTTTGGAGGAAAAAAAAATGCAGGAGCATGTCTTCAAAACCCTGTGGTAGGAAAAGACTTTATAAAAAGTTAATAAAAAGTAGTAATCATAAAAGGAAAACCGATACATTAGAATATGTTACAATAAAGAATATTTATTCATTGAAAGAATAAGAAAGTGAAAGAGCAAGTTGCAAGTGTCAGAATATCTATAAATCATATACCTGTAAAAGAACTTGTATCCATAGTATATAAAAATGTCTTCAAATCAGTAAGTAAAAGGCAGACAACCCAAGTTTTAAAATGAGCAAGACTTGAATAATCACTTAACGAAAGTCAGTATCTTAAAAAAAAATGATGTATTTAAACAGTGTGATTCACATGATATAAAGACTGTTGGTACAAAAGTCAATATCTTAATGGCCAATAAGCATATGAAAAGCTTAACATTATTGTTCATTAGAGAAATGTCATTTAAAACCACTACACATCCACCAGAATGGAAAAAATAAAAAAGACTGACAATGTCAAGTGTTGGTGAGGATGTGGCACAAACTGGAACTTTCCTGTTGCTGATAGGAGTGTAAACTGGTTCGGGCACTTTGGAAGGCTGTTTAGCAAAACAACAAAAGCTGCACATACACCTGCTCTATGACACTACGAGTCCATTCCTAGCTATGTGCCCCAGAGAAAAGAGTGCACGTTTCCACCAAAAACATGTATAAGAATGTTCAAAACAGCTTTGTCAATGAAAGCCAAAATCTAGAAACAACCTAAATGTTAAACGGAGACGGAAGAAACGAAGTACAGGCATACCTCATTTTATTGCGTTTGTCTTTACTGTGCTTCAGATACTGCTTTTTGCCTTTTCTTTTACTTTTTTTAACAAATTAAAGGTTTGCAGCAACCCTGTGTTGAGCAAGTCTGTATCAATGCCACTTTCCCAGCAGTGTTTGCTCACTTTATGCCTCTGGGTCACATTTTGATAATTCTCACCATATTTCAGACTCCTTCATTATTATTATATTTGTTATGGTGGTCTGTGATCAGGGATCTTTAATGTTACTGCTATAGCTCAATGAAGGCTCAGAGGATGGTTAGTATCTTTTAGCAAAAAAGTATTTTTAATTAAGGTATGTACATTGTTTTTTAGTCAGAATGCTACTGCACACTTAAGAGCCTATGGTACAATGTAAATATAAATTTCATATGCACTGGGAAACTAAAAAATTCATGTGACTCACTTTATTGTAGTGGTCTGGAACTGAATCTGCTGCATCTCCGAGGTATGCCTGTATAGTCGTACAATGGGTTAGTACACAGCGGTAAAAGAGCATGAACTGATACATGCAACAACATGGATGAGTTGCAAAAGTATTATTTTGAGCAAAGGAAATCAGACCAAAAAAGAGTATATTCTATACGATATTATTTATATACAAAGTTGGAAAACAGTAAAAACTAATTTATGGTGACATGTAAGAATAGCAGTTATTTCTGGGAGTAAGGAAAGGCAGGAATTGACTGGGAAAGGTTACAAGGAAACCTGGAGAGAAAGACAAATCCTATTTTAATTTGAGTTTTAAGTACATGACTGTATATAAGTGTAAAAATTCATCAAGCTTACACTTAAGATTTGTGAATTTACTATGTGTACATATTATATTTCAGTAAAGAAAAAGAGATGAGCTATTAAGAGTGAAAAGCAAAGTAAACAGAGTAGTGATATATACATTACGAAGAACTTATATCCAGAATATAAAAAGACCTCATAAAATCAATACGCAAACATATACAACCCAATAAAAAAAGCAGGCAAAAGTTGAACAGGCATTTTACAAAAAGAGATATCTAAATACCCAATAAATACATGAAAGGTGCTCAACTTTACTAGTCAAAGAAATACAAATTAAAACCATAATATGATGATGCCACTACATATCAATCAGAACAACAAAAATTTAAAAGATTACCAAATACTGGTAAGAATGCATGAAAACTGCAACTCTCATTCACTATTGGACAGAATTCATTCAATTACTTCAGAATCACTTTGTAAAACTGACAATACCTAGGAGAGCTGAACACTCCTTATAAACACCCTGACAGAGGAGATACCCATAATAAATAAATATTAACAGAAGTTTTTAAAGGAACTATTGAAAAATTAAGGTTAGGCTATATTTATTATCCTTCTTAGCTCTAGAAATATGAAATTTTTAAAAATTAGGAATTATTTTAAGTTCAGTATTATCACATTAGATGCATTCCTGGCCTAAAAAATCAATCCATCACACTTAACATCTCCGTAAATAACTGACGCCAGAAACTTGAAATGAATAATATTTTATAAATCTTTTTGTTTCCACAATTACCAACAGACTTCAGGGCTGTAAGCCCTGCAGGGAGAAACTGAGAAAGACCTGGCCAAGCTTCACCTTTTTGCTCAGATGCATGTTCTCCATCTTAGCCTTCAGCAGCTTCATCTTATTCATAGTTATTGAATTTTCAATTATCTGTTGCCCAGAAGGAGAAGGCTCAACTTCCTCATCTTCATCAGTATACAAATTATACACAGAACCACCACTGCAAAGAGAACGATAATTATTATTGAAATGTGTCTGATGCCCACCCAATGACTAAAAATGCTGCTAATGATAAAATAGTAAGTCCATCTTGTCAATGCAAATTCAAGGCAAATGTATTTCAAACATGTATTTCCTAGGAGGGAAAAAAAAAGTGGGGATAAATATCATGACCTAACATTACTGAAAATCCAGCACAGCTGAGCTTTTCTGAAGTCACCATAAGTGAAGTGTACCATAAGTGAAGATCTTTTACATGTGGAAATGCATCCATCCATTAAAGCATAGGTTTTAAAATGAAAAAATACATCCTGATCAAGGCATGACACAAATTACTAAACAGATAAAACATTTCAATTACTGGTCAATCACAATGACATTTATTCATACCTTAACATTATTATTTGGAGCCCTTTCTCTTTGACTGCATAATATAATGGCACTTACCACACTATCCTCATATTTATTCTTACGTGTCTATCTTTCCCTCTTACTCCCCCATTTGTAAGCAAGTTGAAAGCAGATATTACACTTCATTCATCTTCCTAGTCTTAGCACCAGGCACAGTGCTTGGCACATATTTAATAAATGTTTGCTGAACTGAATACAAACATGATTGAAATTTCATTCTGCTTTTTCAATAACGGGAAAATTAGAATGGTAAAGGTTTGAAAAACACACAAGCTCAGCATATTTGAAGAATGAATAAAATTTTAAACAGAGCATAATAAGAATGTATATGTCACCATGTCCAATTTACTATAGGAAAATTAAAGTATGAATCTATGCTAAAGTAGTATGAGAATTAATAAGGCTTCCTGTTCTATATGGTTGTAAGAAAATGGGAACAATTCAAGATTACCTTAACAGGGCATACTCCATAATGCTTCTGAAGGACATACTACCACCACATGAAGGCAAAATTAGAGAGTGGAGAGTCCCATTCATAAACTTTACATGGTGAAACTGATGACATTTTGAAATCATGGGTTAATTATTTTGCACAGCAGCCATGAATACCAGGAGGAAGAACAGTGGCAACTGGTCTCCATAACTTGTGGACACTCACGTGCTTGACTCATGACAATCGTTCTCTACCTATTATAGGTGCCTAGTACAGTATGAAGATTAACAGTTGGCACAGCACTAAATTAACATTGCTACCATTTACTGAATGCCTACTCTGCCAGGCACTTCCCACATATTATTTCTAATCCTCACAAAAACCATATAAGGTGATATATTCCACCATTTTATAAATGAGGAAACTACAGTCAACTCAAGAGAGGTTAAAAAAGTGATTTTGTTTAAGCCAGAGAGCTAGTAAATGGTGCACCTAAGAGTCACATACCCTGTCCATCTGGTTCCAAAGCCTGTTCTTTATACTACTTCATGTTGCTTCCCCAGGCACCAAACAACAGATCTTACTGCGTCATGCTCATGTACCCAAATAAGTGACAGAACTTACAGTATGTGAAGGTTCTTGTCTTGAAGTTAACCATACCTGAAAAGGAGGGTTGAGTGAAGATTTCTGCAAGTTCACCCTTGGAATTGGAAGAAATGACTCAAGTATATTCTATTCTTGGTTACCTTAATATATTTTAACTTCAACTGCTCCTCTGTTATATCCTGTGGCATTTTAAATTTACCCATATTAAATATTAAAAGAGTTTTCTAACTCAACTTTCCTGTCATTAAAAAACTGATCCTTTACTGTTTTCCCATAGAGAACAGTGTGTGTATATACATGTAAAAAAGTACAGTCATGATAAATATTTCACTAGATGCATTTTAGAGGACAAAAAGCACTTAAATTCACCTAATTTTTTCTACAAGTATCACGTTATTGTGTTTTCTCTCACAATGCATAAATTCATGAGATCAGTTAGAAACCAATGCCAACTTTTTTTCTAAATGGGAAAATGTAACAAAGACTAGGATAACATAATAACTTATAAAATTAATCCCCAAATATTTTTCTTTATAGTTAACTATTCTAAATATTTTCTTGAATGATTGATATATTTAACTTTCTCTAAATTTTTTACTCTAATAATATCAAAGAATAAGAGATGGGCAAATATATTATTTATTTCAACACAAATACTGTTCATCCTGAAGCCAAGTCCTCATGTGACTTTCACAGATAAATTACCATTTAAATGTTGCAATGCCTCCTTCCACTTTAAAAAAAAAAGTCAAGTAACACAATTAACTAAAAAGATTTGAGACTAAAAATGATGACTGATACTGGATCCTGCATCAGAATGAATCAAATATACACCCAATTCTCTGTTTCTTCTTAGAGCAGGAGTCTGCAAACTATGACCAAGGCCAAACTCAGTCCATCGCTTATTTTTTTCCAGCTTTCTTTTATTGAAGTATAGTTAATTTACAATATTGCATTAATTTTTGGTGTACAGCATAGTGATTCATTTACATATATGTTCCTTTTCATATTCTTTGTCATTACATAGGTCATTACAAGGTATTGAATATAGTTCCCTGTGCTAAACAATAGGACCTTGTTGTTTATCTATTTTATATATAGTAGTTGGTATCTACAAATCCCAAACTCCCAATTTATCTCTCCACCCTCCCCCACTTCCCCCCAGTAACATAAGTTTGTTTTCTATGTCTGAATCTCTTCCTGTTTTGTAATTAGTTCATTTGAGTCCTTTTTTTTTTTAATTCCACATATAAGTGATATCATATGTCATTTTTCTTTTTCCTTCTGGCTTACTTTACTTAGTATGATGATCTCCAGGATCCATCCATGTCGCTGCAAGTGGCTTTTTTTTTTTTTGGCTGAGTATTAAGTAGTATTCCATTGTAAAAATAAACCACAACATCTTTATCCAACCATCTGTTGATGGACATTTGGGTTCCTTCCGTATCTTGGCTGCTGTAAATAGTGCACTTACAAACATTAGGGTGAATGTATCTTTTTGAATTAAAGTTTCCTCCAAATATATGCCCAGGACTGGGGTTGCTGGATCATAGGGTAAGTCTATTTCCAGTTTTTTAAGGAATCTCCATACTGTTTTCCATAATGGCTGCACCAAACTACATTCCCACCAACACTGTTCCCTTTTCTCCACATCCTCTCTAGCATTTATTGTTTGTGGACTTTCTAAAGATGGTCATTTTGACCTGTGTGAGGTGATAACTCATTGTACTTTTGATTTGCATTTCTCTGATAATTAGCAATACTGAGCATTTTTTCATGTGCCTATTGGCCATTCGTATGTCTTCAATGGAGAAATATTTGTTTAGGTCTCCTGGCCACTTTTTCACTGAGTGGGTTGTTTGTTTTTTGTTATTGAGTTGTATGAGCTGTTTGTATATTCTGGAAATTAAG